GCCGCCGGCCCCAAGCCCTGGGGATTATGGCGTCACAGCCCCCCACTACGGTCCGGTGGAGGCCAAGGGGCCAGGACGGTGGAGCACCCTGGGAACGGGACGCCCTCCTTTCCAAGCTTCCTGCCCAGGGCCTCAGTGCCCAGCACCCCTCGAACATTCCCAACCAAGCTGCTCCCGCAGAGGCTCAGGGCTCCCTCTGTACAATGAAGCCACCGTCGGCTTCTGCAGCCCCTGAGCCGAGGCGGAGGCGGCTACCTCGGGAGCGTCAAGCCCTGCCCGCTGCGGCGGGGTACGGACGAAGTACAGCGCGCAGGCCGCTTGGGCCCAGCCCAGTCCCTGCCCTTGGTCCCTCCTGCCCGCCGCCGCCGCCTCCCCGGCTGCCCCTGCACCTGGGTGAGGAGAGGGCGGCTCGGGCTCCGGCCACAGGACGCGTCGTCCGGTCTTTTTCTCAGCGGTCCAGGCCTCTGCCTAGCAAACGCGCCCCCACCCCCAACCCCCAACCTCCTTCTCTTGGCGGCTCACGGTGGTGGCCGGGGACCCCAAGCCAAGGGACGCCGCCCAGGCTGCGCAGCCCGGGAGCCCGAGCGTCATGCGCACCCGCGCGCCACCGGCCTCTGGCCAGGACGCTTATACATCCGGAGGGTGGGCAGTGCCCGGGCTCCTCCGACCTCCCCGCGCACCGGCCGGGCGCTGGGAGGGCCGGGGGCGGGGCCTGGGCCGGCGGAGGGAGCCGGGGACACGTCGGAGAAGCTCTGGGCGCTGGGTCAGCTCTGGGCAGCCGGGTCGTGCGCTATTCCTTGCCGGCCTGACCCGGTCTGGGAAGGCCCTGCAGCCTCCGGGCCTCTAAGACTTCACTAGGCCTGTGCCTTCCTCCACCGACTTCGCCTCAGGCGCCGCCTTTGACCAGTTCCTTGCGACCAGGGCCCGTCTGCCCAGGATCTCCTGTAGTCTGTGTGTGAAGCCCCCGGGCTCAGGCTTCCCAGGAACCTCCTAGGCCAGCCCAGAGAACTCCACTGAGCCTGCTGCAGGCCTTGGTTGCCTGCTGGGACAAGGTGGGATGCAAACAGGGTCTTCAGTAGTTTCAACCACTGGGGCACCTCAGACCGAAGGTTGGAGGTGGGTGCTGGCTGGACGGCGGGAGGCCAGGCTCTGGGGAGAGTGCTGATTCAGAGCGGAGGTCTAGGAGTGAATATGAGGCAGGTGTGCATCCAGTGAGCATGACTATGTGAGGAGACTGTAGCCTTTGGTCTGCTAGGAGTTAGAGGAAGTGTCCTCTATGGCATCCTGCTGGCTGTGAGCTGTCATCCAGGGTTGTGCCAGTGACCTGTGGAAGTGAAGGGGGTGGGAGATAGGCAGGCGTGTGGGGGCCAGGAGCCGCCTGAAAGACTTGGAGAAGCTGCTCCTGCTGGGGTGGGGGTCTGTGTCAGCTAGGGGCGTTGCCTCCCATGCGTGTGGATGCAGGACCATCTCCCCAGGGGGTCCAAGCTGGGGGTCTGTGCCCGCCTGGGCCCCTGAGCATGAGGGAGCATAGTGTGGGTGTCCCCTGCGTGCTTTAGGGGAGCTTCCCCACGGTGCTGGGCACACACCTCAGGACAGTGGCCAGGTGTTGAACCAGAGGGGGATGTTAGCACCGAGGGAGCTGACCTTCGTGGGGACTCTGGGACAGCTTCCCGGAGTGACCTGGAGACCCTCAGTCTCCTTTAACTTCTTTATGGCAGAGCCGGGGTGTTGTGCGCAGCAATGAGCAGGTTAACAGCGTCCGCGCAGGGAGAAAGTGGGCGGAATGGAAGAGACCCTGATCGATAAGAGAAGCGCTGCGCAGGCTGACCTCGCCTTAGTCGCTGACTGTACTCACCCAGCAACTGCCGAATCCTGGAGCAGGCGACTCCGGGCACCCTGGGAGGAGGCCTGGGGTTTAGGGACCCAGAGCGCCTGAAGCGCAAGATGGCCCAAGCTTCCAACTCGCGGCGGAGCCTTAGCCCCCACCCCTCTCCCCTCCTCTCCCCGCGCTGGGTTCTGCTGCCCCCTTCCTTCCGACCCCTTCCCTCTCACTTAACGCTCCACCGTCCGGTGCTGCCACACCGCGGACCCGGCCCCGAGCTCCTTTTCACCCGCCACGGCCAGGAGAGAGTGCGCCCATCCCGGCGGAGTGCAGCGCCGGAGACGCACACGGTCTCTCGCAGGAAGCCTCCTTCCCCACCTGTACCTTCCACAGCTCCCCCTGCCGGTAGAGCCTCCTTCATCTACAGGTATGAGGCCGCGCGCGCGAAAAGCATGAGCTACGCAAGATCTGACCCTTTAGGGCCTGGGCAGCGCTACCCTTCATGGTGGACACCCGTCGAGGAAGGGCGGAACCCATATTTTACAACGCCACTAAGGCGATGTGGCTGGTTTTGGTCGGCCTGCTGCGAGGTACAGGCTCTTCTGCGCCTATTTCAAGGACCCCCAAAGTGAGGCTGGTTTTGAACCCGCAGCCAGTGTGTGGGATCTCAAAGCCCACCCTAGCAGAGGAAGAGGCGGGAAGTGTGGATTAGGGTTGCTGAAGCCCTTGCCTCGCCCACTGGACTCTGAGCAAGCGCCTGGGTGGCCGCCTCCAGCACTGCCTTTTCCATCCCCTCCTGTCACGAGAGGGTATGGTCCTGCCCAGCTCCGCCTCCGCCCCTTGGGACCCCTTACCCTCACCCTCAGAACCAGCATGTTCTGTCTGCACCACGCAGAATGCACTCCTTCGGTGCCTCTGGCACCCCAGTCCTTCTCCCAGTCCTGGAAGCACTCGTGCACCCTCATGTGTGCGTCTCCGGCGCGGCACCCCCTGCCCACAGAGACAAGCGCGCCAACCTGCGCCCCAATGCGCGCTGGAAACCTTTTGGGGCACAGGTGCCCAAGGTCGGTCGGTCTGTCCATCTGGGCGCCATCATTAGCTTCGCCCACAGGATTCCGTGCGTGGAGCGGCCCTAGCCGGGCCGAGGAACCCACCGGCTGGGCTACGACGGTTTGGTTCAGGATCCAAAGGCACCTGCATGGCTCCACTTCAGCCTGGGGGTCTTGAAGGAAACTGGAGTGCCTGGCGATGGGCAAGGGGGGCGCGGCTACACCTGCCTCTCCATCTCCAGAGGATCCCGGAATTTTTGCTGCTTCCAGAAGGTTGGAAAGTTCTAGAGAGGCTGATTATCCACGATGGAGCAGCTGGTGGCTCAGCTTGGCTTCCCTGTTGTCCATCTCTGTCCTCAGCACTCAATTCAGTCCTCCAGCGATCTCAGTTCCCTAGGGCATCCCTCCAGCCTTACATTAAGCGAAGCTGCTGAGCCCATGTTCAACGGAGGACAGCCTGAGATGCAGAGACTAGAGTGTAGGTTCTGTGGCACCCTCTTGGACTGCTTGACCATGTTCTGTGGTGATTGGCAGAGGCCATCCAGGGCTTCCTGCTACTGAGCCTCGGAAAAGGCCCAGGCTGCAGTCTGTGAAAGAGCTTGTTCCACACCCCATGTGGAGCTCCTGGCTGCCAGAAGCTTGGCTCAGTAGGCAGCTGGGTTTGTAGGCTTGGGGGTGGGGGCAGGTACTGGGTCCCCACCAGGGAGGGGACAGCACCAGACCTCACCTTGCTGGGTGACAGGTGGTCTTTCCATCCTTGCCCCTGCCAGCTAGAAGAGAGCCTTCTTCTCCAACGCCCTTAGCTCCTCCCCAACCTGCCTCTCTGCTTTTCCCTGGGGTCCTTGCCCTTGCCCAGGGTGGCACTGAAGCCAAAGACCCTGTGAGCTCAACCATGCTTGTCCTACTTGGCATTGGGGTTGGTGCAGCCCCAAATGGGGCTTTGTGCCTGACCTGGAGCTCCGGGCACACCAGGCAGACACCAGGCAGACCTGTGAGTTTGTCACAAAGGCCAGGCATGAGGGCCAACAGGTATATGGACGGTGGTGGCTTGGAGAGGACGTTGGGTGGCCTGAGCTGCGTGGCTAAGTAGAGGTAGCCCCTGCCCTTTCCACAGTTCACCTGGGACACTACGGGGGCGTATCCATCCTCCTCCTCATCCTGGGAGGGTGTCCCTCTCTGAGCCCCTGTGCCTGCCCACCCTGCTGACAGCAGGATGAACAGAGGGAAACTAAGGCCCAGGAAAGTGATGGGGTTACAGGGCTGGCAGGAAAGAGCTGGTGATACAGAGCAGGAGCTTGGGGGGCAAGGCACCCCTCTGCTGGGGCTGAGCTGCCCTGCACCCATGGGTGCTGTCTTCTAGTCCAAATGCCCATGGGGACAGAGGGGACAATGGTGGAAGAAATGGCGAGACCGGATGGGACTGTCAGGCAGGGCTGGGTGGGGCCACCATCCTGCCCCCCAGCCCTGCCAGGCACCGGGCCCCCCTGCAGGCTGGAAGTTCCCACAAGGCAGAACAAACAAACAAACAGACAGACTGATGGACAGCCAGGCTCTGAGCCCCTCTCGGATTTCGTGGCCTGTTGATTTAGCTGCCCACTTGGCGGGAGAAGCCAGCCTCATAGGGAGCCGGCTGTCCATCTGTCCGGTCATAGGCTGGGCAGCCCTGGCCACACTAGCCTGAGCTAGTGAGGGGAGACTTAGTGACCCAGGTGGTCCAGATTCCAGCCTGTTGGGGTGACTGTTCTCTGCCTATTCAGGAAACCAGCTCCTTGCCAGCCCCAACCCTCAGTATCTGTGGCCGGGCTGGAGGCACACTTTCCAAAGGGAGTTCAACCCCACTGTGTGTTGACTGAGGTAAGTGGTTAGAGATGGGCCTTTGTCTCCTTGCCAGTGAGGGCTCCATTGGCATCAGTGTCTACCCATCCAGGCTAGAGAAGCCCTCACCCCCCTACGTGCACACTCATGAACAGGAGTCCACTACACACACACGTATGTGTATGTGAAAGGGCTTCTAAAAAATCTAGGGAGACAATGGAATTAAAAGATATGTTTTCTTTTGTGTGTGTGTGTGCATAGACTCGTGTGAGTGTAGGTACACATGAAAATATACAACATGCACTCCTCACCACACACACACCCAACACACACATAGACACATTACATACTTGTCATCCCTGACATAAGTACATCAATGGGTACACACCATGCACACAGAGACACATCAAACACTTGCTTGTGAGCACATATACGCACCTAATTCACACAGGCACATTTCACACGTGCGCATCGGCACTCATGTACACATACATGCACACATACAGCTACAGTGCACACACAGTCCACGCACACATTGCACACTTGTGAGTGCAAGCACAGACACACACTTGTGAGCATCGATGCTCATGCACACACAGTATGAACATAGACACTTTGCACTCTGTAAGCACAAAGCACACCCATGCACACAGGGTGTTGTTACAGGTGGGCATTTCCCCAGCATCTCACCTTCAGCACCATAAGAAAACCACCCTGTCATCACAGTAAGTCACGTGGAACCTCAGGTGTCACAGGATGAAGGGAGACTCATGTCTCTGCTCACTTAAGTCACTCCCTGAAGGGGATGAACTCAGAGGTCTTGGATGCTGGGGTCCAGGAAGTCCCCCCCACTCTCCCCCTGAAGGTCACCATATGTCTGGCTTTAGGGTGACAGAGCCTTGAGA